GGGGTGATGGGGTGGGGGAGTGGGGGAGTGTGGGGTGGGGGGAGTGATGAGTGATGGGGGGTGGGGGAGTGGGTGGGGGGAGGGGTGGGGTTTTATACTGGTAGGAACGAAGTGGACCAGACCACCAATAGATTAATGTGTCCGTCCGTCCGTCCGTCTGACTGTCCGTCCGTGTATCAACATCGCCCCCTACTGCAAACACTTGGCATGACACTACAAAAACCTTTAGACTCAGTTACGCTATCCTGGTAGCAACATCGCCCCCTACTGCAAACACTTGGCATGACACGTGTAACATTCCCTTATTCCCTGAGATAGCTTTTAATTAAAACTTTGAAATTAAATAAAAAAACTCACAGCGCCCTAAAGCCTACAGCTAGGCCTAAAGCCTAGAACTAGGCTTGAAACTCTCCCTTCGTATCGTACCCCCGCGTGGTGAAAGGGAGTTATGTTTAACAATGTTACATTCCCTCATGTTTTTAAATAGAAACATTTAAATTTAAAGCTTTTATATAAATCATTAAAACATTTAAATTAAAAATTAACTCACAGCGCCCTAAAGCCTACAGCTAGGCCTAAAGCCTAGAACCAGGCCTCAATCTCTCCCTTCGTATCGTCCAATTTGGTGTAGCAACATCGCCCCCTACTGCAAACACTTGGCAGGACCCTACAAAAACCTTTTGACTCAGTGGGGCTTTCCTGGCTTAACAAGTGTAATAATAAATTTCGCTTCAAATTTACTTTACTGAAACGCAGCACGTTTTTTTAACACAGAGACAAGATACATTTATTAACACAGAGACAAGATACATTTAATCGCCTTATTTGTGCACGAAAAGCACGGCGCGGAGGCCTACTTCGGAAAAGGCTTCGCGCGGCCTACTGCAGAGAAGGCTTCGCGAGGCCTACTGCAGAGAAGGCTTCGCGAGGCCTACTGCAGAGAAGGCTTCGCGAGGCCCACTGCAGAGAAGGCTTCGCGAGGCCTACTGCAGGGAAGGCTTCGCGAGGCCCACTGCAGAGTAGGCCTCGCGAAGCCTTCTGCACTAGGCTTCGCGAGGCCTACTGCAGGAGGCTTCGCGAGGCCTACTGCAGGGAAGGCATCGCGAGGCCTACTGCAGAGAAGGCTTCGCGAGGCCTACTGCAGAGAAGGCTTCGCGAGGCCTATTGCAGAGAAGGCTTCGCGAGGCCTAGTGCAGAAGGCTTCGCGAGGCCTAGTGCAGAAGGCTTCGCGAGGCCTACTGCAGGAGGCTTCGCGAGGCCTAGTGAAGGAGGCTTCGCGAGGCCTACTGCAGGGAAGGCATCGCGAGGCCTACTGCAGAGAAGGCTTCGCGAGGCCTAGTGCAGAAGGCTTCGCGAGGCCTACTGCAGGAGGCTTCGCGAGGCCTAGTGCAGGAGGCTTCGCGAGGCCTACTGCAGAGAAGGCTTCGCGAGGCCTACTGCAGGGAAGGCTTCGCGAAGCCTAGTGCAGAAGGCTTCGCGAGGCCTAGTGCAGGAGGCTTCGCGAGGCCTACTGCAGGGAAGGCATCGCGAGGCCTACTGCAGAGAAGGCTTCGCGAGGCCTACTGCAGAGAAGGCTTCGCGAGGCCTAGTGCAGAGAAGGCTTCGCGAGGCCTACTGCGAGAAGGCTTCGCGAAGCCTAGTGCAGAAGGCTTCGCGAGGCCTAGTGCAGAAGGCTTCGCGAGGCCTACTGCAGAGAAGGCTTCGCGAGGCCTATTGCAGAGAAGGCTTCGCGAGGCCTACTGCAGAGAAGGCTTCGCGAGGCCTATTGCAGAGAAGGCTTCGCGAAGCCTATTGCAGAGAAGGCTTCGCGAGGCCTATTGCAGAGAAGGCTTCGCGAGGCCTAGTGCAGAAGGCTTCGCAAGGCCTAGTGCAGAAGGCTTCGCGAGGCCTACTGCAGAGAAGGCTTCGCGAGGCCTACTGCAGAGAAGGCTTCGCGAGGCCTACTGCAGGGAAGGCTTCGCGAGGCCTAGTGCAGAGAAGGCTTCGCGAGGCCTACTGCAGGAGGCTTCGCGAGGCCTAGTGCAGAGAAGGCTTCGCGAGGCCTACTGCAGGAGGCATCGCGAGGCCTACTGCAGAGAAGGCTTCGCGAGGCCTATTGCAGAGAAGGCTTCGCGAGGCCTATTGCAGAGAAGGCTTCGCGAGGCCTAGTGCAGAAGGCTTCGCGAGGCCTAGTGCAGAAGGCTTCGCGAGGCCTAGTGCAGAAGGCTTCGCGAGGCCTAGTGCAGGAGGCTTCGCGAGGCCTACTGCAGAGAAGGCTTCGCGAGGCCTACTGCAGAGAAGGCTTCGCGAGGCCTACTGCAGGAGGCTTCGCGAGGCCTACTGCAGGAGGCTTCGCGAGGCCTAGTGCAGAAGGCTTCGCGAGGCCTACTGCAGGAGGCTTCGCGAGGCCTAGTGCAGAAGGCTTCGCGAGGCCTACTGCAACAGGCTTCGCGAGGCCGTCCCTCTGTCTGACAAGATGGCCGCCCGCTCCCCCTGCGATCCGTGAACTAAATGAACTAAACAAGATGGCCGTCGCATCCGGCGCAGCCAATGACATCGCCTGTTGCAATCCTTGCTCTGTGGGCGCGCGAGTCAGTGGGGAGGGGGGTGTGGACGTCATCGCTCTGTGGGCGCGCGGGTCAGTGGGGAGGGGGGTGTGGACGTCATCGCTCTGTGGCTCGCGAGTCAGTGGGGAGGGGGTGTGGACGTCATTATTAAATAATAAAATAATAAAAAGAAATCTTTTACTTATTATTTTTATTTTCATTAGTTTATTATTAATAGCATTTTTATTTTAATAATAAAATTTTACAATTACTTTTTTTATTATTATTATTATTATATTCCATCTTACGTGACTTTACCGAAAGAACCAAGCAGATGAATCCCTGCAGTCACGAAAGCTTTAAATCGAAATGACCACCGCGTTACAGGAGAACAACAGATCGTGAACGCGCTTCGACGATTCATGGCAAAGGCAACACAAAGCACCACGATCAGTCTCTTGCGACCAGCGGTGTCTGCCCTTTAACCCCTGATCCCCCCGTCCAGCTCTTCCCCGCGCTTGCGATTGGTGCGTGTTGTCGTGAGAGCGGAGATGTCGTGTTTGCGTGGTGCGTGGTGCGTGAGGGTGGCTCGCAGATCCCTCAAAGTGCTTGAACCATTCTCCGACTCCTCTTCACATGTAATCTGACCGCTCAAAAAGAGCGAGTTTTATTCTTTAAAAAACACGATACTTTCTTCCAATAGGCATCCCAATTTATTCTAAACCATGTTCCATGATTGATGCAATGTTGGAATGCTGCTCAAATACCGTTCCTAAATTAGACATAAAGGGTATCTGGAATGAGCAGAGAATTCGTTTAATTGCGAGCAATGGGACGAGGGCAACTCGACGACGGTGTCCTTATTAATAACAAAACCCCTGTGCACGACTGTCCGAGCTCTTTGCAAGCAAGTGGGTGGCTCTGAAAAGAGCCGTTGTTGTGGTGGTAGAGGCGGCGGCGCGTTCACTTCTTTGCCTGAGAGGTCTTCTTGGGCAGCAGCACGGCCTGGATGTTGGGCAGCACACCGCCCTGGGCGATAGTCACGCCGCCCATGAGCTTGTTGAGCTCCTCGTCGTTTCGCACGGCGAGCTGCAGGTGTCGGGGGATGATCCTCGTCTTCTTGTTGTCGCGGGCGGCATTGCCAGCCAGCTCGAGGATCTCGGCAGAAAGGTACTCGAGCACGGCGGCCAGGTAGACGGGTGCTCCAGCGCCGACCCGCTGGGCGTAATTGCCCTTGCGGAGCAGCCTGTGAACGCGACCCACGGGGAACTGCAGGCCGGCGCGGGAAGAGCGGGACTTTGCCTTGGCGCGAGATTTGCCACCGGTCTTGCCTCGTCCAGACATCGTTAAGGGACCTAGGATGCAAAAAGCACTGGAGACAAAGTACGAACGATTTGTGACGTTAACACGCACCACGGGAGCGGCTTTTATAGCGGAGACGAGGATCGTAGAGCGCGCCGCTGCTGATTGGCTCCTCTCGCTCGAGTCCCGCCCCTCCTTGAGCCACCAATGACAAGCCGGGACGCGAGGATTCGATGTTGACTTTCATTATTTGTATCCATATATGTTTTAATGCGCACACGCATCTTATGAATTAAACAATGCGATACACGTACTTAATAGGTTCAAGTTTTAAGCATGATAGAGTTAATTTATGGGCGCGTGCTGGCAAGTCAAACTTATAAGCGGATTCCGCAAATATCAATGTATTATTGATTATAATCATCATTTTGAGGGACCGCATTGGTTATAAGAAATCATTGTGATAGCCTTGAGCTCGTGATTGATCGCCCACGTACCTATACGGTGTATAGATATTTTTCTTTAACCGCCTGTTCGGGCAATGCCAAAAATATATGTGCGTGAATAATTCAGTCTCAGTTTGCAAAATGTGAACTTCTTATCAGCTCGGGCTTGAAACAGCATAAACCAATATCTTTGGGTTAATCTATATATAAAATCGTGAATGTCTGTCTGTCTGTGTGTGGATGTCGGACCATACGCACTTTCATTGGACGCCGGTTGCCCCTGCCAACGCCTAGCGACGACTTCGCCGCTTTCATTGGACGCCGGTTGCCCCTGGCAACGGCTAGCGACGGGCTAGCAGTTGCGGGGTGGACGCCATCTTTAATTCCCGTTAAAAATAGGCGCACGCATTAACACGCGACTCTGAGGTAAATTCATCTAAGTTTCACGTCCTCTTTACTCCCCCCCCCCACCACAATGTGTGCTATTACTATTATAGGGTCGGTAGATTATTAAATTATAGCGATTACACAGTATTATTGAAGCGCGGGGGGGGGGGGGGGAAACGGCACCCGTACCCAGCGTCAGCCGGGTGGCAAAATCAGGCGAGGCGGGAGGCTCTGCACGGTGCTAGGCCTCCACCCACCACGCGACTCTGAGGTAAAATACATTTCACCAAAATAACTCTTTTGTTGTACATTATGTAAACATGGTTTCACAACGCTTATACACAACACCAACGTGTGATGTTGCAGAATGAGCGGCGGGGTATAGAAATGAACTTCATTGTCGCTTACGCCTGACGACTCGTGAGAGCCGTGACCAGCAAACGAAGGTTTCCGGCACCCGAACTTTGAAGGACACACATGGAAGCTTTCTCACGAGTAAGTGGTGGCTCTGAAAAGAGCCTTTGTGTTGTGCTTTGAGGGCCGAGCTGGGCGTTCAAGCGCGCTCGCCACGAATGCGGCGGGCGAGCTGAATGTCCTTGGGCATGATGGTGACGCGCTTGGCGTGGATGGCGCACAGGTTGGTGTCCTCGAAGAGCGCGACAAGGTACGCTTCGCTGGCCTCCTGCAGAGCCATGACAGCGGAGCTCTGGAAGCGCAGGTCGGTCTTGAAGTCCTGCGCGATCTCCCTGACGAGGCGCTGGAAGGGCAGTTTGCGGATGAGCAGCTCGGTGGACTTCTGGTAGCGGCGGATCTCGCGCAGAGCGACGGTGCCGGGCCTGTAGCGGTGAGGCTTCTTGACGCCGCCCGTGGCCGGAGCGCTCTTTCGGGCCGCCTTGGTGGCGAGTTGCTTGCGGGGGGCCTTGCCGCCCGTGGACTTGCGAGCCGTCTGCTTGGTGCGAGCCATGGCTTGGTGAGGGCAAAGATTCTCACAGGCGGGGAGGAGAAGGCGGCTTATGTAGCCCAGAGCGCGCGCTCACTGGTCAGCGGAGTCGTGACGTGCGAAGAAGGGGCGCGTGCTGATTGGTTGGCAGCGTGCAATGATCTCGAGTCGTCAACTCTTCTTCATCAACGAAATGTTCTCACTTTGGAGCATTGCAGAATGCCGCATCACGATGCAGTAGTACCGTTTGAGCGCCGTCCATGTCCTTAACGGATGTTATTTTCTCAAGCAAACACCTTTCCGAAAACAACTTTACAGTGTTCTGCGTGATCTAAATAAAGTGTGAAGAAACTGCACTTCATTGGAAACAGTAATACGTAAAAATTATTCTTTGGTTCTTTCGGTAAAGTCACGTATAAAGAAAAAATAATAATTAAATAATAGCATACGACGTTTCGATTGCAACACAAGCAATCATCATCAGGTATAATGAAATAGCGACATAAAATCTAACCAGAAAAAATTATAGACAGACATATATGCAGAAAGATATCACCAATTTGTTTTTTATATACGTGACTTTACCGAAAGAACCAAAGAATAATTCCTGCAGTCACGAAAGCTCCAAAGTTAATAAGTAAAATTGTCGGAAAGAGGTGATCACAGGGATAGATATCTATTCTCTTGGCATTGAGATGATGATCATCAATTATACTGCACGAGTCATCCATGCTAGGCGCTTACTTTTACATAGATGTACACGTGCAAAATGTTAGTTCCTGCCCGAAAATACAACCACGAATTAAATATATTGCATTGCAAGGTTTTGGCACCAAATATCCAATGTAATATCTGAATGGGCTGCAGATGAAATCAATGGACAAACAAGTCCAAGAAATGCCTGCTGGTGAAATGATGTGCCATGAATATTGTTATCGCTTTTATTCACGTGGAAACAGGTTAAAATGCGTTCCATCTCTCCATTCACTCAATGAGCGAACAATGTCCCCGCGTGAACCGGGGCTTTGTTGGAAGTTTCGTTTAGTACTCCTGCTAGGACTGGTACAAGCAGGTTCGGAGAGGTGGGTGGCTCTGAAAAGAGCCTTTGTAATTAATGGTGGAGTCGAGGCTTCACTTGGAGCTTGTGTACTTGGTGACGGCCTTGGTGCCCTCCGACACGGCGTGCTTGGCCAGCTCGCCGGGGAGCAGCAGTCGCACTGCGGTCTGGATCTCCCGAGAAGTGATGGTGGAGCGCTTGTTGTAGTGCGCCAGGCGGGACGCCTCGGAAGCGATGCGCTCGAAGATGTCGTTGACGAACGAGTTCATGATGCTCATTGCCTTGGACGAGATGCCGGTATCGGGGTGCACCTGCTTCATCACCTTGTAGATGTAAATGGCGTAGCTCTCCTTCCTGCGGTGGCGTCGCTTCTTGCCATCCTTGCGCGTAGCCTTGGTCACAGCCTTCTTGGAGCCCTTCTTGGGAGCAGGAACCTTGGCCGGCCCAGCGCTCTTTGATGCGGGAGGATCGGGCATGTCGACGCGTCGTAGGCAGCAGCTTCAGGTCAGAACAGACGGGAAGCGAATGTGGATGTCGCTCGCGCGTTGAGCTCCTTTTATAGGAGGCGAGATGCAAATCAGAGGATCGTAGTGCGCGCGCTGCTGAGTGGCTCTTTTAGTACCGTCCCTCTCCATCAGCCTCCAATGAGAAACGCGGACGCGATGTTCACTTTAATATCGATTTTACTGCAAAAAGGACTTGTGAATATAACACAATGTAATGTCCAAACATGTGTATTAGTGAATTGCAGCCATGGCATTGCCTTTGTTTTAAAAGGATGACTAGAAAACCCAATACAGTATATTGTGTTTTGAGCGTGGGTTTTTTTGTTTCTTACGAGGGATTGTTTCACCACTCGTCTAATACGGCGCACGGGCGTTTTATGAACGCAATTTGGAAAAATACAAGCGCTCGGTGGAGAAAAATAACTTCGCTGTTGTGCTGTACAGGTGGAGATTAGCATTCCGGCACGCTCCGTCAATTAGGACGAGTGTGCTGTAAGATTGTGGCGCCAAATGCTCTACGTAATATCGGAATCGGCTGCAGCTGGAAATAATTCACGCAAAATACCAGAAATGGGTACTGTATTAAGGCGTTCAAGAATTACGCCTTGTTAAATGTGTCGTGAATATCATGATTTCTTTCATTCATGTGGAAGCAGATGAAGATTCGCCAACTCAACAAGCAAACGTCCAGCACGCTCACAACAACCCAGGACATGTGCTCCATTCAGAGCGTGTTTGGCAACACTGGCGCAAGCAGTTTCGAAGAGGTGGGTGGCTCTGAAAAGAGCCTTTGGGTTGGCTTAGTGTGCGAGAGATGGGCGCTCAGCCTCCGAAGCCGTAGAGAGTGCGGCCCTGGCGCTTGAGGGCGTAGACCACGTCCATGGCGGTGACGGTCTTGCGCTTGGCGTGCTCCGTGTAGGTGACGGCGTCGCGGATGACGTTCTCAAGGAAGACCTTCAGGACGCCGCGGGTCTCCTCGTAGATGAGGCCCGAGATGCGCTTCACACCGCCGCGGCGAGCGAGGCGGCGGATGGCGGGCTTGGTGATGCCCTGGATGTTGTCGCGCAGCACCTTGCGATGGCGTTTTGCGCCTCCCTTGCCGAGCCCCTTACCGCCTTTACCGCGTCCAGACATTGCGACTACTTGTGACAAAGCTCCTCGCGAGAGACTGCGCGCTCAGCTTGCAGCAGCAGCCGCCTTTATACCCGAAGCGTGGCGACGTCACCGACCACCCCTGCCCTCCGCGATGGCTCCGCCTTAAACCTTCCACCTTTAACCTCTGCGACGAAGAAAACCCTCCACCGTCGTCAATAACACTTCCTTGACATGTATAATATGCGACGTTTTGGGCAATGGCCCTTCTTCGAAGCACTCTGGAATGATATTGGCACACCCGCAGCGAACGCCAGAGGAACGCCATCTGTTGCAAGATTGCACGTGGAGTGAATAAATATGTAAGGTCTGTTTGCAAGTGAACAAGATGAAATACTTTTAAGTTTAGATGGTGCACCGCAATGTTTACAAAACAAAAACAAAGTGAAAAGGCGGAACGAGCGAATGAAGGCAAATTGAGTAAAGCTGTCTGGAATCAATACATTTTTAGACTAAATTCCATATTTGGCACCAGTAGCATGATGACGGAATGAAGAGGTGCAACACATAATCAAATTGGAGGTTCGTCAAGAATGCATCGATTTTGAATCTGGATTTAGATTAGAATCGCCAGCGAGAATGCTGACGTCGCTGAGATTACTCTGCACTCAGTTCGAGTGAGGGAGCTGCCACCCGCCTCGCCTGTGTTTGTGATCCCTGCTTTCGGGCTCGATCACTCCCATCACATCAATGCTTAAAACACATCGAGTGGGTGAAATGTTACACAGTTAATTTGAACTAATTGAAGCGCAGCAGCATCTGGTTCACTTTTTTAACGAAGTGGGTGGCTCTGAAAAGAGCCGTTGAGGTGGAGTGAATCGAGCGTCGGTCGTCCCATCGGATTCACTTTTGGCGCAGTCTTCTTGGGCTTGGCCGCGGCCTTCTTGGGCTTGGCCACCTTGGGTTTGGCGGCCTTGGCCTTGACGGTCTTGGGCTTAGCGACCTTGGGCTTCGCAGCCTTGGGCTTGGCTGGGCTCTTCGCCGCCTTCTTGGGCTTAACAGCCGACTTCACCTTTTTGGGGCTCTTGGCCGCCTTGGCAGCCGCGGGCTTCTTTGCTTTCTTGGGAGACTTCTTGGGCGCGGTCTTCTTGGCTGCCGCGGGCTTCTTCACCTTCTTGGCTGCCGCGGGCTTTTTAGCTGCGGGCTTTGCCGTTGACGACTTGGGCTTCGCCTTTGCGGCAGCCTTTTCCTTGTTGAGTTTGAAAGAGCCAGACGCGCCGCTGCCCTTCACTTGCGCCACGGCGTCTTTGGCCACGAGCTTCTTGATGGCCAACTTCACGCGGGCATTGTTCTTCTCCACGTCGTATCCTCCGGCAGCAAGCGACTTTTTGAGCGCAGGAAGAGACACGCCGTTCCTCTCCTTGCTGCTGGCCAGAGCCTTGAGGATGAGCTCGGACACGCTGGGGCCGACCTTCTTGGCCTTTGGAGCGGCGCGCTTCTTCTTGGGGCTTTTAGGCGCTGAAGTAGCCGCAGCTGGTGGTTGAGCAGGAGCAGTTTCCGCCATCTCAAGACGTCGCTTTTATCGCCTCGCCTCTTGGAAACCGAAATCAGCGCTCTCACGAATTCGAACCGAGCGTCCTCCAGGCCCGAGGTTATTATAGAAGCGGCGTACTGAATGCGGACGTCGCTGAGATCATCCAGCACTCAGCTCTAGTGAGGGAGTTGCCACCATACTCACTGTGTTTATCACGCCTGCCTTTGGGCTCGATTACTCCCGTAACGTTCATACTTACATGCATCTAGTTGATACATCATCACGAAGATCACTTCTTTAATGTACGTTACTTATGCAATATACGACAATGCTCACGATATAAATTATAATTCTAAACAAGTGAACAACCAACATTTGGGAGACATTGTTCGGTCAGGGCAAGATATGATGATTGTCGGTTTTCAAAAGTGTTACTGATGAACACTATTTAAAACGCACTCGAATTTTTTGCAAGACAAGATGCTTCAAACATACTACTCATTTAATTCCAACGAAATATTTTCTATTTAAGTTTTGCCTCGCGCGCTCGCGATTCCTCCTCTCGCGCTATGGTGAGGACTGCGCGCCATGTCAATCGTCCCTTGTCACCGAACTTTTAACTGGACGTTTTAATCGAACTTTGAAATGAATAAATATATGGATTTTCAGATGGACAACAAACTGAAGAAAATTACTCAAAATTAACCGACATTATAGAAAGTTTAACATTTTACGTGGCAAGAGTGAGTAGTCACGCACTGCAGAAGGGTCGCGCGCTTGAACAGATCGAGGCACGGTGCACAATCATCACCACTAAAATTCAACTCAAGTGACTCCGCAGTCGAATGTTTAAAGAAAATATATCTTACGTTTAATGCATTGACAGAGTTGATATTCTAGGAGCGCAGGATGGTTCATGCGATGAGTTGTTTTTACTGCAATAAGTAACACGTATTTACTGCACTAAGTAACACGAATGAGTAATCATTGGAAAGATGTTATTAACCATGTAAAAAATATTTAACTACACATATTTGTACCATCTTATTTGACAGGTAATATTATACTTTACCGAGTGTTAACATCCCCAGCGTTTACCAGTACTTTTATGCTTACTATCAGCTAACACCGGCCACAACCCTGAGCTGATGTGCTCATTTGTTCTCTTTTAGCCCCGACACCCCGCCACTTCCCGGCAACCACATTCAGATAAGCCCCCTCTTCCCCCCTGATTTGTTATTTTATTATTTATATTGTTTTAGTTATTATTATTATTGTTTACCTACGTGACTTTACCGAAAAAACCTAAGAGTATGAATCATTGCAGTCACGAAAGCTACAAATTTAGAACGAATGCAATAATCATTCGTTCCACGCGCATGTGAGAGGCGTAGTAGATTGGTTTATGCACTTCTGGTAGGAACGAAGTGGACCAGACTCCAATAGATTATATCGTGCGTCCGTTTGTCCGTCCGTCCGTGTGTCAACATCGCCCCCTACTGCAAACACTTGGCATGACCCTACAAAAACATTTAACCCACGGCGGCCTAAGGCCTACAGCTAGGCCTAAAGCCTAGACCTAGGCCTCAAGCTCTCCCTTCGTATAGTTCCCCCGCGTGTGTGAAAGGGAGTAAATGGTTAACAAGGTTACATTCCCTGATGTTTTTTAATAGAAACATTTACATTTAAAGCTTTTCATTAAAAACAACTCCTACCTCCCCCCCTCGTCGGCGGCTCTCCAGCCGAGCCAGGCCTGGGAATCTCTCCCCCGCTCGGGGTGTATTGGGCGGGGCTACAGCGGCAGGGGGCGGGGCTACGCGGCAGGGGGCGGGGCTACGCGGCAGGGGCGGGGCTACGCGGCAGGGGGCGGGGCTACGCGACAGGGGGCGGGGCTACAGCGGCAGGGGGGGGGCTACAGCGGCAGGGGGCGGGGCTACGGCAGGGGGGGGGCTACAGCGGCAGGGGGCAGGGCTACGCGGCAGGGGGCGGGGCTACAGCGGCAGGGGGCGGGGCTACGCGGCAGGGGCGGGGCTACGCGGCAGGGGGCGGGGCTACGCGGCAGGGGCAGGGGGCCGGGCTACAGCGGCAGGGGGCGGGGCTACGCGGCAGCGGGCGGGGGCTACAGCGGCAGGGGGCGGGGCTACGCGGGGCTGGGCGGGGACACCGAGATGGGGCGGGGCCACGGGTGGCGGGGCGGGGTTACGCGGGTGGAGGGCGGGGCCACGGGGGCGGAGCGGAGCCACGGGGGAGCGGGGCGGGGTCAAGCGGTGGGAGGCGGAGCTTAGCGCGATGGAGGGAGGGGCCGTTGGCGAAAAGGGGCGGAGTCTACAGTCGAGAATACAGTACCGGGGGCGAGGAGGCGGGGCTAACAGTGATAGGGGCGTGGCCCACGGCGCTGCATCTCGTGCAGATTGTTACTACTCACTGTGTCTGCTCCAAGCTGCACTCACGTAGGTACATACTTGTGCAATACTATTATTTTTTTGCAGAACGGTTACTACTACTTTATTGTTTCTTATGTTCCACTACGTCTACGTTTCCATCCACTCATTGGCGCCATTTTTTGCCATTTCATTTTATTATAGCCATTCAATTGTTCGGTCCTACCAGCCCACCCCACAGGGACCTGTTTTCACCAACGCACAACAATATTCGTTCCAAGACCAACCCGGGCACACGTCCCACAGCCCCTTTTAATCCTCAATCTCCGCAACGCACGCACAGCAATATTCGTTCCAAGACCAACCCGGGCACACGTCCCACAGCCCCTTTTAACTCCTCAATCTCCGCTCCCAATACACATTCGCGTCCAGCACGCCTGGTCCGGGTGACGTCACTGCCCTTTAACCCCTGACCCCCCCGTCCAGCTCTTATTTCCCGCGCGTGTGTGAAAAAAAATTAAGATTGATTGGTGCGTGTTGTCGTGAGAGCGGAGATGTCGTGTTTGCGTGGTGCGTGGTGCGTGAGGGTGGCTCGCAGATCCCTTGAAGTGCTTGAACCATTCTCCGACTCCTCTTCATATGTAATCTGACCGCTCAAAAAGAGCGAGTTTTATTCTTTAAAAAAACACGATACTTTCTTCCAATAGGCACCTCAATTTATTCTAAACCATGTTCCATGATTGATGCAATGTTGGAATGCTGCTCAAATACCGTTCCTAAATTAGACATAAAGGGTATCTGGAATGAGCAGAGCATTCGTTTAATTGCGAGCAATTTGGGACGAGGGCAACTCGACGACGGTGTCCTTATTAATAACAAAACCCCTGTGCACGACTGTCCGAGCTCTTGCAAGCAAGTGGGTGGCTCTGAAAAGAGCCGTTGTTGTGGTGGTAGAGGCGGCGGCGCGTTCACTTCTTTGCCTGAGAGGTCTTCTTGGGCAGCAGCACGGCCTGGATGTTGGGCAGCACACCGCCCTGGGCGATAGTCACGCCGCCCATGAGCTTGTTGAGCTCCTCGTCGTTTCGCACGGCGAGCTGCAGGTGTCGGGGGATGATCCTCGTCTCTTGTTGTCGCGGGCGGCATTGCCAGCCAGCTCGAGGATCTCGGCAGAAAGGTACTCGAGCACGGCGGCCAGGTAGACGGGTGCTCCAGCGCCGACCCGCTGGGCGTAATTGCCCTTGCGGAGCAGCCTGTGAACGCGACCCACGGGGAACTGCAGGCCGGCGCGGGAAGAGCGGGACTTTGCCTTGGCGCGAGATTTGCCACCGGTCTTGCCGCGTCCAGACATCGTTAAGGGACCTAGGATGCAAAAAGCACTGGAGACAAAGTACGAACAATTTGTGACGTTAACACGCACCACGGGAGCGGCTTCTATAGCGGAGACGAGGATCGTAGAGCGCGCCGCTGCTGATTGGCTCCTCTCGCTCGAGTCCCGCCCTCTCCTTGAGCCACCAATGACAAGCCGGGACGCGAGGATTCGATGTTGACTTTCATTATTTGTATCCATATATATTTTAATGCGGACACGCATCTTATGAATTAAACAATGCGATACACGTACTTAAAAGGTTCAAGTTTTAAGCATGATAGAGTTAATTTATGGGCGCGTGCTGGCAAGTCAAACTTATAAGCGGATTCCGCAAATATCAATGTATTATTGATTATAATCATCATTTTGAGGGACCGCATTGGTTATAAGAAATCATGTGATAGCCTTGAGCTCGTGATTGATCGCCCACGTGCCTATACGGTGTATAGATATCTTTTTTAACCGCCTGTTCGGGCAATGCCTAAAAATATATGTGCGTGAATAATTCAGTCTCAGTTTGCAAAATGTGAACTTCTTATCAGCTCGGGCTTGAAACAGCATAAACCAATATCTTTGGGTTAATCTATATATATAAAATCGTGAATGTCTGTCTGTCTGTGTGTGGATGTCGGACCATACGCACTTTCATTGGACGCCGGTTGCCCCTGCCAACGCCTAGCGACGACTTCGCCGCTTTCATTGGACGCCGGTTGCCCCTGGCAACGGCTAGCGACGGGCTAGCAGTTGCGGGGTGGACGCCATCTTTAATTCCCGTTAAAAATAGGCGCACGCATTAACACGCGACTCTGAGGTAAATTCATCTAAGTTTCACGTCTTCTTTACTCCCCCCCCCACCACAATGTGTGCTATTACTATTATAGGGTCGGTAGATTATTAAATTATAGCGATTACACAGTATTATTGTAGCGGGGGGGGGGGGGGAAACGGCACCCGTACCCAGCGTCAGCCGGGTGGCAAAATCAGGCGAGGCGGGAGGCTCTGCACGGTGCGAGGCCTCCACACCCACCACGCGACTCTGAGGTAAAATACATTTCACCAAAATAACTCTTTTGTTGTACATTATGTAAACATGGTTTCACAACGCTTATACACAACACCAACGTGTGATGTTGCAGAATGAGCGGCGGGGTATAGAAATGAACTTCATTGTCGCTTACGCCTGACGACTCGTGAGAGCCGTGACCAGCAAACGAAGGTTTCCGGCACCCGAACTTTGAAGGACACACATGGAAGCTTTCTCACGAGTAAGTGGTGGCTCTGAAAAGAGCCTTTGTGTTGTGCTTTGAGGGCCGAGCTGGGCGTTCAAGCGCGCTCGCCACGAATGCGGCGGGCGAGCTGAATGTCCTTGGGCATGATGGTGACGCGCTTGGCGTGGATGGCGCACAGGTTGGTGTCCTCGAAGAGCGCGACAAGGTACGCTTCGCTGGCCTCCTGCAGAGCCATGACAGCGGAGCTCTGGAAGCGCAGGTCGGTCTTGAAGTCCTGCGCGATCTCCCTGACGAGGCGCTGGAAGGGCAGTTTGCGGATGAGCAGCTCGGTGGACTTCTGGTAGCGGCGGATCTCGCGCAGAGCGACGGTGCCGGGCCTGTAGCGGTGAGGTTCTTGACGCCGCCCGTGGCCGGAGCGCTCTTTCGGGCCGCCTTGGTGGCGAGTTGCTTGCGGGGGGCCTTGCCGCCCGTGGACTTGCGAGCCGTCTGCTTGGTGCGAGCCATGGCTTGGTGAGGGCAAAGATTCTCACAGGCGGGGAGGAGAAGGCGGCTTATGTAGCCCAGAGCGCGCGCTCACTGGTCAGCGGAGTCGTGACGTGCGAAGAAGGGGCGCGTGCTGATTGGTTGGCAGTGCAATGATCTCGAGTCGTCAACTCTTCTTCATCAATCTTAATTTTAGAACTTTCGTGACTGCAGTAAATGATTATTTGGTTCTTTCGGTAAAGTCACGTATAAAAGAACAAATAATAAATTAAATAATAGCATACGACGTTTCGATTGCAACACAAGCAATCATCATCAGGTATAATGAAATAGCGACATAAAATCGAACCAGAAAAAATTATAGACAGACATATAAGCAGACAGATATCACCAATTTGTTTCTTTATATACGTGACTTTACCGAAAGAACCAAAGAATAATTCCTGCAGTCACGAAAGCTCCAAAGTTAATACGTAAAATTGTCGGAAAGAGGTGATCACAGGGATAGATATCTATTCTTTGGCATTGAGATGATGATCATCAATTATACTGCACGAGTCATCCATGCTAGGCGCTTACTTTTACATAGATGTACACGTGCAAAATGTTAGTTCCTGCCCGAAAATACAACCACGAATTAAATATATTGCATTGCAAGGTTTTGGCACCAAATATCCAATGTAATATCTGAATGGGCTGCAGATGAAATCAATGGACAAACAAGTCCAAGAAATGCCTGCTGGTGAACATGATGTGCCATGAATATTGTTATCGCTTTTATTCCCGTGGAAACAGGTTAAAATGCGTTCCATCTCTCCATTCCACTCAATGAGCGAACAATGTCCCCGCGTGAACCGGGGCTTTGTTGGAAGTTTCGTTTAGTACTCCTGCTAGGACTGGTACAAGCAGGTTCGGAGAGGTGGGTGGCTCTGAAAAGAGCCTTTGTAATTAATGGTGGAGTCGAGGCTTCACTTGGAGCTTGTGTACTTGGTGACGGCCTTGGTGCCCTCCGACACGGCGTGCTTGGCCAGCTCGCCGGGGAGCAGCAGTCGCACTGCGGTCTGGATCTCCCGAGAAGTGATGGTGGAGCGCTTGTTGTAGTGCGCCAGGCGGGACGCCTCGGAAGCGATGCGCTCGAAGATGTCGTTGACGAACGAGTTCATGATGCTCATTGCCTTGGACGAGATGCCGGTATCGGGGTGCACCTGCTTCATCACCTTGTAGATGTAAATGGCGTAGCTCTCCTTCCTGCGGTGGCGTCGCTTCTTGCCATCCTTGCGCGTAGCCTTGGTCACAGCCTTCTTGGAGCCCTTCTTGGGAGCAGGAACCTTGGCCGGCCCAGCGCTCTTTGATGCGGGAGGATCGGGCATGTCGACGCGTCGTAGGCAGCAGCTTCAGGTCAGAACAGACGGGAAGCGAATGTGGATGTCGCTCGCGCGTTGAGCTCCTTTTATAGGAGGCGAGATGCAAATCAGAGGATCGTAGTGCGCGGCGCTGCTGAGTGGCTCTTTTAGTACCGTCCCTCTCCATCAGCCTCCAATGAGAAACGCGGACGCGATGTTCACTTTAATATCGATTTTACTGCAAAAAGGACTTGTGAATATAACACAATGTAATGTCCAAACATGTGTATTAGTGAATTGCAGCCATGGCATTGAATTTGTTTTAAAAAGGATGACTAGAAAACCCAATTCAGTATATTGTGTTTTGAGCGTGGGTTTTTTTGTTTCTCACGAGGGATTGTTTCACCACTCGTCTAATACGGCGCACGGGCGTTTTTTGAACGCAATTTGGAAAAATACAAGCGCTCGGTGGAGAAAAATAACTTCGCTGTTGTGCTGTACAGGTGGAGATTAGCATTCCGGCACGCTACGTCAATTAGGACGAGTGTGCTGTAAGATTGTGGCACCAAATGCTCTACGTAATATCGGAATCGGCTGCAGCTGGAAATAATTCACGCAAAAATACCAGAAATGGGTACTGTATTAAGGCGTTCAAGAATTACGCCTTGTTAAATGTGACGTGAATATCATGATTTCTTTCATTCATTCATGTGGAAGCAGATGAAGATTCGCCAACTCAACAAGCGAACGTCCAGCACGCTCACAACAACCCAGGACATGTGCTCCATTCAGAGCGTGTTTGGCAACACTGGCGCAAGCAGTTTCGAAGAGGTGGGTGGCTCTGAAAAGAGCCTTTGGGTTGGCTTAGTGTGCGAGAGATGGGCGCTCAGCCTCCGAAGCCGTAGAGAGTGCGGCCCTGGCGCTTGAGGGCGTAGACCACGTCCATGGCGGTGACGGTCTTGCGCTTGGCGTGCTCCGTGTAGGTGACGGCGTCGCGGATGACGTTCTCAAGGAAGACCTTCAGGACGCGGGTCTCCTCGTAGATGAGGCCCGAGATGCGCTTCACACCGCCGCGGCGAGCGAGGCGGCGGATGGCGGGCTTGGTGATGCCCTGGATGTTGTCGCGCAGCACCTTGCGATGGCGTTTTGCGCCTCCCTTGCCGAGCCCCTTACCGCCTTTACCGCGTCCAGACATTGCGACTACTTGTGACAAAGCTCCTCGCGAGAGACTGCGCGCTCAGCTTGCAGCAGCAGCCGCCTTTATACCCGAAGCGTGGCGACGTCACCGACCACCCCTGCCCTCCGCGATGGCTCCGCCTTAAACCTTCCACCTTTAACCTCTGCGACGAAGAAAACCCTCCACCGTCGTCAATAACACTTCCTTGACATGTATAATATGCGACGTTTTGGGCAATGGCCCTTCTTCGAAGCACTCTGGAATGATATTGGCACACCCGCAGCGAACGCCAGAGGAACGCCATCTGTTGCAAGATTGCACGTGGAGTGAATAATACAATAGTTGAGTGAACGTCACCAACTAGTTGTCCCAAAGTAAGAAAGACATTGCAAACAATGCGATATTTACGTATAGTAATTAATTTAATAGAGAAGTTTAGATGGTGCACCGCAATGTTTACAAAACAAAAACAAAGTGAAAAGGCGGAACGAGCGAATGAAGGCAAATGAGTAAAGCTGTCTGGAATCAATACATTTTTAGACTAAATTCCATATTTGGCACCAGTAGCATGATGACGGAATGAAGAGGTGCAACACATAATCAAATTGGAGGTTCGTCAAGAATGCATCGATTTTGAATCTGGATTTAGATTAGAATCGCCAGCGAGAATGCTGACGTCGCTGAGATTACTCTGCACTCAGTTCGAGTGAGGGAGCTGCCACCCGCCTCGCCTGTGTTTGTGATCCCTGCTTTCGGGCTCGATCACTCCCATCACATCAATGCTTAAAACACATCGAGTGGGTGAAATGTTACACAGTTAATTTGAACTAATTGAAGCGCAGCAGCATCTGGTTCACTTTTTTAACGAAGTGGGTGGCTCTGAAAAGAGCCGTTGAGGTGGAGTGAATCGAGCGTCGGTCGTCCCATCGGATTCACTTCTTTGGCGCAGTCTTCTTGGGCTTGGCCGCGGCCTTCTTGGGCTTGGCCACCTTGGGTTTGGCGGCCTTGGCCTTGACGGTCTTGGGCTTAGCGACCTTGGGCTTCGCAGCCTTGGGCTTGGCTGGGCTCTTCGCCGCCTTCTTGGGCTTAACAGCCGACTTCACCTTTTTGGGGCTCTTGGCCGCCTTGGCAGCCGCGGGCTTCTTTGCTTTCTTGGGAGACTTCTTGGGCGCGGTCTTCTTGGCTGCCGCGGGCTTCTTCACCTTCTTGGCTGCCGCGGGCTTTTTAGCTGCGGGCTTTGCCGTTGACGACTTGGGCTTCGCCTTTGCGGCAGCCTTTTCCTTGTTGAGTTTGAAAGAGCCAGACGCGCCGCTGCCCTTCACTTGCGCCACGGCGTCTTTGGCCACGAGCTTCTTGATGGCCAACTTCACGCGGGCATTGTTCTTCTCCACGTCGTATCCTCCGGCAGCAAGCGACTTTTTGAGCGCAGGAAGAGACACGCCGTTCCTCTCCTTGCTGCTGGCCAGAGCCTTGAGGATGAGCTCGGACACGCTGGGGCCGACCTTCTTGGCCTTTGGAGCGGCGCGCTTCTTCTTGGGGCTTTTAGGCGCTGAAGTAGCCGCAGCTGGTGGTTGAGCAGGAGCAGTTTCCGCCATCTCAAGACGTCGCTTTTATCGCCTCGCCTCTTGGAAACCGAAATCAGCGCTCTCACGAATTCGAACCGAGCGTCCTCCAGGCCCGAGGTTATTATAGAAGCGGCGTACTGAATGCGGACGTCGCTGAGATCATCCAGCACTCAGCTCTAGTGAGGGAGTTGCCACCATACTCACTGTGTTTATCACGCCTGCCTTTGGGCTCGATTACTCCCGTAACGTTCATACTTACATGCATCTAGTTGATACATCATCACGAAGATCACTTCTTTAATGTACGTTACTTATGCAATATACGACAATGCTCACGATATAAATTATAATTCTAAACAAGTGAACAACCAACATTTGGGAGACATTGTTCGGTCAGGGCAAGATATGATGATTGTCGGTTTTCAAAAGTGTTACTGATGAACACTATTTAAAACGCACTCGAATTTTTTGCAAGACAAGATGCTTCAACAGACTACTCATTTAATTCCAACGAAATATTTCTATTTAAGTTTTGCCTCGCGCGCTCGCGATTCCTCCTCTCGCGCTATGGTGAGGACTGCGCGCCATGTCAATCGTCCCTTGTCACCGAACTTTTAACTGGACGTTTTAATCGAACTTTGAAATGAATAAATTATGGATTTTCAGATGGACAACAAACTGAAGAAAATTACTCAAAATTAACCGACATTATAGAAAGTTTAACATTTTACGTGGCAAGAGTGAGTAGCTCACGCACTGCAGAAGGGTCGCGCGCCTTGAGGCACGGTGCACAATCATCACCACTCAAATTCAACTCAAGTGACTCCGCAGTCGAATGTTTAAAGAAAATATAATCTTACGTTTAATGCATTGACAGAGTTGATATTCTAGGAGCGCAGGATGGTTCATGCGATGAGTTGTTTTTACTGCAATAAGTAACACGTATTTACTGCACTAAGTAACACGAATGAGTAATCATTGGAAAGATGTTATTAACCATGTAAAAAATATTTAACTACACATATTTGTACCATCTTATTTGACAGGTAATATTATACTTTACCGAGTGTTAACATCCCCAGCGTTTACCAGTACTTTTATGCTTACTATCAGCTAACACCGGCCACAACCCTGAGCTGATGTGCTCATTTGTTCTCTTTTAGCCCCGACACCCCCGCCACTTCCCGGCAACCACATTCAGATAAGCCCCCCTCTTCCCCCCTGATTTGTTATTTTATTATTTATATTGTTTTAGTTATTTATTATTGTTTTACCTACGTGACTTTACCGAAAAAACCTAAGAGTATGAATCATTGCAGTCACGAAAGCTACAAATTTAGAACGAATGCAATAATCATTCGTTCCACGCGCATGTGAAGAGGCGTAGTAGATTGGTTTATGCACTTCTGGTAGGAACGAAGTGGACCAGACTCCAATAGATTATATCGTGCGTCCGTTTGTCCGTCCGTCCGTCCGTGTGTCAACATCGCCCCCTACTGCAAACACTTGGCATGACCCTACAAAAACATTTAGACTCAGTGACGCTATCCTGGCTAACCAAGTGTAGCATTCCCTTATAATTCCCTCATAGCTTTTAATTACAATGTTACATTCCCTGATGTTTTTAAATAGCAACATTGACATTTAAAGCTTCAACATAAATAATTAAAACATTTATATTAACAATTAACCCACGGCGGCCTAAGGCCTACAGCTAGGCCTAAAGCCTAGACCTAGGCCTCAAGCTCTCCCTTCGTATAGTTCCCCCGCGTGTGTGAAAGGGAGTAAATGGTTAACAAGGTTACATTCCCTGATGTTTTTTTAATAGAAACATTTACATTTAAAGCTTTTACATAAATAATTAAAACATTTATATTAACAATTAACCCACGGCAGCCTAAGGCCTACAGCTAGGCCTAAAGCCTAGACCTAGGCCTCAAGCTCTCCCTTCGTATAGTTCCCCTGTGTGTGAAAGGCAGTAAATATTTAACAATGTTACATTCCCTGATGTTTTTTAATAGAAACATTTACATTTAAAGCTTTTTCATTAAAAACAACTCCCTACCTCCACCCTCTCGTTGGCGGCTCTCCAGCCGAGCCAGGCCTGGGAATCTCTCCCCCGCTCGGGGTGTATTGGGCGGGGCTACAGCGGCAAGGGGGGGCTACAGCGGCAGGGGGCGGGGCTACAGCGGCAGGGGGCGGGGCTACGCGGCAGGGGCCGGGCTACAGCGGCAGGGGGCGGGGCTACAGCGGCAGGGGGGGGGCTACGCGGCAGCGGGCGGGGCTACAGCGGCAGGGGGCGGGGCTACGCGGGGCTGGGCGGGGACACCGAGATGGGGGGGCCACGGGTGGCGGGGCGGGGTTACGCGGGTGGAGGGCGGGGCCACGGGGGCGGAGCGGGGCCACGGGGGAGCGGGGCGGGGTCAAGCGGTGGGAGGCGGAGCTTAGCGCGATGGAGGGAGGGGCCGTTGGCGAAAAGGGGCGGAGTCTACAGTCGAGAATACAGTACCGGGGGCGAGGAGGCGGGGCTAACAGTGATAGGGGCGTGGCCCACGGCGCTGCATCTCGTGCAGATTGTTACTACTCACTGTGTCTGCTCCAAGCTGCACTCACGTAGGTACATACTTGTGCAATACTATTATTTTTTTGCAGAACGGTTACTACTACTTTATTGTCTTATGTTCCACTACGTCTACGTTTCCATCCACTCATTGGCGCCCATTTTTGCCATTTCATTTTATTATAGCCATTCAATTGTTCGGTCCTACCAGCCCACCCCACAGGGACCTGTTTTCACCAACGCACAGCAATATTCGTTCCAAGACCAACCCGGGCACACGTCC